GAAGTCGGGGGTGATTTTTTGATCTCTTGAGGATTTTTGCCCTTTAATAAGGGAGTCCACTGCAGTACTGGTCATGCTGAAATTATCTTTTCCTCTCTAACAATCCGTTTCCATGAGCCCAAAAAGGATGCTGAGAGAAGAAAACTTCATTTTAGGCTCCGGATTATCCTGAAGGCTTCTCAGTGCTGCTAGCAGAGAGTTAATCTGGCTCGAGTTTATACCTGGTTTGGTCTTAATTCTTTTCCTACGTAACTCTGACACCGCCAGAGCAGCTGTCTTTGTTTTCCGAGAGATTCTTACGGATTCTCACAAAAATATCAATTACCTGGAACCGTGAAACCCTTGAAAATTGTGAAACTCTTGCAAATTGTGATGTCTCTTTTCTTCCTTGTCGACCACGGGTTCTGTCACCCACCACGTTTTTTTAAGTTTTCCTGTCCCTACTCCTGATATTTGGTCAGTTTTCCAGTTGTCAGGTTAGAGAAAATTGCTGTGCGGAGGGAAACAAGAAAGACTTTTCATTCATTGGAATTGGTGAATTAATTAATGGAAAAAAAGTGGAGGTGGCTCCCGAAGAAAAGGGAAGGGAAGAGCCGTTTCTCTGTGAATATTTACCCTTGTGTTTACTAAAATAGAGAGGGAGATAACCCGTTAAAAGTAGCTTTATGATCATAAAAAGAGGAAAAAACCCAAGTGCTTTGATGTTGAGGACCTCCCACTAAGACCACCAGACCGAGAAACTTTTTGGGAACCCGTAACAGAATAATTTGCCTCGAGGAGATCCAAGTTAACCAATTATTTGCTGGGAAAAATAAATTGAATAGAGCATCCAGGGTGGCTTTTTCGATTAGGATGACGTCAGATTTCGATGCAGAAGGTGAAGACCAGGATTTTCTGACAAGGTTTTCAAGATTTTTGTACTTTAACTTGGAGTCCTTAATGCTCTTCAAGAAGGAAGCGTAGCGGGAATCGCTACACTTGTCCCTAAAGGTGAGTCACCTTGGACTTTTGTGCTTTTTGGCAAGTCCAGAGCACACAAACGAGACGCCAGGAGGAAAAAAAACCAACCCCAAAGTTCCTTATTGCTTGTGACAGTGACCAGTAAATCCCTGACTGATAGAAGGCAGGGTGAAGAAAATTTTAGTCCGTGGCTTCGGTACAGGAAGGAACAATTTCTGTCGGCGAAGGTGTGATGTTTACTTAAACGCTCAGCGATAACGGGTGGTAGATAAAATTCTGATTGTGGCAGGGGAAACGGGATTGCTGGGTCTTGGGTGAGGAAATAAGGAGGTCGGGGAAGAAAAAAGAGAAAAGCTGTTGAGGACTTCAAAGTGCTCTTTTGGTTTTTTGCCAGCAAGCAGTAAAGTCGAGGCCGGAGAGTATCAGCAGGTGTAGAAAAGACTTTGTCAAAGTCCTGGAGTTTGAAATTGAAAAGGAAGAGGCTCTTTCCTTTACTCTCACCCGACAGTTACGCGTGCTTGTAAAGCACGAAAGGTGTAACCTGGAAGTAGCAGCCGGGCTGCGCTCTCCCTCATTTCCTAAAGTCCTGACGGAGTAACTACTGAGCATCTCCCCTGGTGGGATGTTTCCCTGTGAAGTTAGGTCCATCCCGAGAGGGTGCAAGCGTAACGGTGCCGTTGCAGCAAGAGGGATTTAAGCTTGTGCAAAGCTTTCTGAACAATCCCAACGCGGCGGCGGGGAAATGGGTTGCCAAAGAAGTCGTGGGACCGTTTTTGTGGGTTGTTCAAAGTAGGTTACGCAAGTGGCCCAGGCCGTAATTTAAATATAGCGGGTCTGAGCACATCTCGGAATTCACACTCCCTTGTTTCGCTGTTTTTTCTCTCGTCGTCCGGTGACCGATGTGGTTCAGCTCGACTGAAATGGATAACCCAGCTTTCGAAATGCACGGAGAGAGCCTACACAGGCCTTCGAAAGGAACAGAGTGGCCGACAAAAGAGGTACCCGTTGTTTTCCTCTTGGCATTTGAGTTAACTTCATGCAATAAGAGTCAGAGTATCCCTCCTCAGCTGTTTTTTCGCGATCAGCCCAGCACTTCTCGGCTTATAAATACCCCGAGACTTGCGATTTCCAACTTGTGATATTTTTCAGCGACCGGTGAGAGAAATGTGAAGAGCTTTTCTCAAAGACATTCATCAAAAAAGGTCGTTTTGTTAAGGTCAGCGAGCGACCTTCAATTTTTTTTTCATTTCCGATTGTCCAGCTTAAGATATCCACATTCATAGCTCCTTTTCAGGCACTGGCTGGAAAAAAAAAAACCAAAAACCAAACAGGCTTTTGGAGGGAGATCAAGCTGAATCAGCAGAGTGTTAAAATTTGGGCAAGACGCTGCCGTCTCTCTTCATCTGAAGCTGCAAGTCCAGCAGCAAGAATGGTTCAGGCGGAGAAAATATTGAAATATTTTCAGCCAGGTGATGTTTCGTTGTGTCAGAAGCACCTTCTAAAGAACTCATCCGCTTATTTTCAGGAGAAAAAAGGCGGCCGGTCCCTGATGAAAGTGTTTTTAGTTTGCCTGCTGGCCTGTATCATCACCACGGCGATCGGAGTGCTGGCCCTGTCCTTGGTCTACGTGAAGAACCCCGTCTTTATCAAAGATGCTCGAGATAACGGCGCGTCTTCCCCTGAACCGGCCGACAAGAGCGCAGATTTCAAATTCCAGTTCCTGAACCACCTGGGGAAATCGAAGGTAGGTTCGGTCGCCCTCCGCAACAACGTTTTAGAGAAGGGAAACAACTTGATTTGGCCCAACTGCGCTCCAGCTGCCAAAGGCATCTTTCTATTTCAAAGAATTCCCAATTGATTTGTTGCTTTTCAGCAAAAGATGAGAGGAAAAATATTTGGGGATTGTTTGTTCCCCGCTGTCCACAATACTTATAATTCTCCACTCTCGCTTCACAGGTATATGACTACCCCGGCGGTGCAATCCAGTGGGCGAGGTTCAGGAAGGACGTAAATGAATATCAAAGCGAGGAAGAAATGGAATTTGGGAAAAGCATCAACAACCATCGCTCCAAAATGACTTTCGGGACCTTACGGATCAAAAGCAAAGGGCTTCGGGCTCCCCACTGGCATTTTAATGCCAACGAGCACGGCTACCTGCTACAGGTATAATCCAATTATTTCATTTCAACTCTATTTCTTTACCTGAAAGGGTTGGACTAGATGCTCCTTGAGATCCCTTCCACTCTGGGACTTTATGATTTCGGAATCGGTTTTGCAGTTTAAAGCATTGTTTATATCTAGAAGATGTACATATGTTTAAAAAAAAATAATTCTATATATGTTCTATGCAAACATTAACAGCTAACAAAAGCAGAATTGCTATTGGTTGATGTACGGCGCTGGTTTGGGGCCTTGAAATAAGATAATTAATTGATTTCGAAGACTAATAATTCATATTTTTGATCAGTGTAGACCCAGACAGCTCAGGCTGGAGGGAGGACCCGGCTTGGAGTAAGGCATTCCACAACCACCTCGTCCTCTCTCTCGCAGGTTTATGCTCAGAGACGGCTCCTTTGCATCTGTCTGAATAAAAAATACGTAAAGTGCGAGCAACGTGTCCTCGCCAGGTGTTCCTGAAACCTTCTGAAATGTTTTTAAGTTAAAATGTTGCCTCTTTAAATGCTATTCTGCATGAATAGCACACCAGGAGCTGGTTTTTTTTGGTTTTTTCCTTCAGGTTATTTGAATGACCCGTTTGCTGCGCGTGGATTAAAGGAGAAAAGTTTCGTTACGACCGCTAAATTCCGACTTTTTCCGTTCCAGGGTACCGCCTGGATTGGAGTAATCGGCGCCGACGACAGCGTGGTCACCACGTACAACGTCACGGCCGGCCAGGTGATCTTCTTCCCTCGAAACACCGTGCACTGGATCAAGAACGTCGGATCCGAAGACTGCTTTTTCCTTCTCTTCTTCACGACGCACGAAGAACTCCAGACCTTGGACGTAGACGACGCCTTTTTCTCTACGCCAGAGGACATAGCAGCCAGAGCGTTAAAGGTTTGTGCGATGGGACAACCAGCCTCTGCCCGGTTTTCTGTACAATAGAACAAGTCTGGGCGCTCTGTATTTTTTTAGGGACCTCGCTCAGCTGTTCTTTTCCACGCCATCTCCTCCGCTCGTCACATTAATCCCCAGTTCACGGAGGTTCCTCCGTGTTTCCGAGGGGGGAAAAGCCCAAAGTGAATTTCCCCTTGAAACGAGGTCGTGATAGACCTTCTCGCCCTCAAACAGTTGGAGTTTCCCTTCTGCTCCAAAGCTCTGCGAGCAAAGGAATAAGACAGAACATGGCCATGGTGAGGTGGTTGAAGAGAATTCCACTACTAAAATCGGAATTCCCCAGTTTGCCGTCGAATTTAACGCGCGCCCTCTCCCCCGCAGCCACAAGGTGGAGTCAACTTCATCCGAACCTTCAAGAAACAAGCGGCAGATCAAGCCGTTAACCTCCCGCCCAATTTAGACGAGCTCGTCCAAAACGCAACCTACGTGCAGTCTCCGGACGACTTGGTGTGGAGGTACTTCTACAACCTCAAAGGTACGCGCCGAAACGCTCCGGCCGGCGGAGCTCTCCGCGTTTTTAGTGGGCGAGAGGAGGGGAGTCCGGAATCGATTTGCCAAAAGTCCAAAAATCCATGGATAACCTATCTCATTCAAGCCTAACCCGACGTCTAACCCGATTCTCATCTCCAAGTAGTTCTCACTTTTGATTTTGACTTTTCCATCAGGTTCTTTACTGACGTATGTAACCAGGGCTGGTGTGTTAGCGATAACCTAAATCTCCAATTTTCAGTCAGAAATTAAAATCTAACAGGCGGGCGTCGTTAACCAAACCTCATTAGGAATTCTCACTTGGCTACCTCTCGCTTTTAGGGTCGGCGGAATATCCTTTCCCAGGAGGAGTCTTCCAGTGGGCTCGCTACCGCAGAAACGGCACCGGCCTGAACGAAACGGAAAAAATCTTCAGCGAGTCGCTGAACAAGGTAACGCGCCCTCCGTCGGAGGGGAGACCCACAAAACGGAACTGGTTTGGGCCGTTTTCTGACCGTTCGCGTCTCGCTTTTCAGCACGAGGACACCCTCACCTTAGCGACTCTCCGGATATTCAGCAACGGGCTGGGGCAACCGCATTTCCACTTCAACGCCAACGAGATGGGCTACGTCATCAGCGGCTGCGCGCAGGTAACTCGGGACGCGGCGGGAGGGAGAAGTCGGCGGAGTTTGGGCCGGAAAAAACAAATTAGAGCCCGATAACGACGAACAAAACCCCAACGGGTGATATCGGCCTTTAACAAAAAAGTTGAATTTCATTACGACAGGTCGGAGTTATTCTCTCCGGAGCCACGGCCAACTTCAACATCGGCATCGGAGACGTCATTTTTTTCCCCGTCGGGACCCAACATTATATCAAGAGCGTGTGCGACGAGGATTTGTTTTTGGTCCTAGCCTACAGTACGGGAAACCAGGTGAGAATCGGGCAAGGGGAGTTCAAAAAACCCCAAAAACCCCCAAATATACTAAAACTAAGCGGGTAGCCACAATTATTCCTCGTAAAATATTGCCTTTCTTCTCTTTGTAGCTGGAAACTCTTCGCATGAACGACTACTTCCATTCGACGGCCGACCATATCCTCGCTCAGCTTTTCTTCAAGGAACAGGCCGAGTTTAAGAAGCTCCCGAAAGCCAAATAACCTCGCTTAGCCGTGAACACCTTTTTTTCCACCGTCGCCGCCTTTCTGGCCGTATTTTTCTCGCTATTTATCCAGCGGGAGGTGAAAAAAAAAGGACTTGGCGGAGGTTTCCTCATTGTAAAAAGTCTTTTCCTTTTTTTATTTTTCTAACGTTTTATTTATGGCGCGATGCGATTGTATATTAAAGTGATTTCTACTCTTCCCACGGCTGTTTGCTCTTTAAGGTGATAAATTCCTTTTCCCCGACTGCTGCGACGCTTCAGAGGGAACATTTTGAGGCACCGCAGAAACTCTGTGTGGAAACTGAGCCAAAAAGAAGCAAAATATTGTTGTGGGTTTTTTTTTATCCCCTTGCCTAGTTCGCTGGGGTTTCAATCCGATCAGGCTCCAAGCTCTTTCCTGATTTATTACATAATAAACAGGGATTCAGCGAAATAGAGCTGGGCTTGAATTTCATTTTGAGGCTCCTGGTGACCCTCTGGTTTACCCGGAAATCCAGCTGTTGTTCCTCACTTTTCTCATTTTGTGGTGAGCTTTTATCACTTTGGGGGGCCCGGCTTTGGCTAATTAAGCACTTTCAAGTGTTCCGAGAGAAACAGACCCGTCGCCGTGAAGTCAAGGGAAGGAAACGCGAGCAAAGTCGAGGGGAATTCTTTTCATTTCGGTTTCTACCCGTCGCTTCGTGGCGCTGCAGATGTTCTGCACAGCTGGAGCTGCAGGTCACCCAAAAGGTAGGAACCCCTTGTGAAGTGGCGAAAAACATTAGAAAAAACCCCACAGAGCTACAAAAAGCTCCTAAATCTATTAGAAAATTTAAATAATTCTTCAAGAAGCAGCAGAATTTGTGTGTGTTCCCCCGTTTTTGGCTGTTTCTCCCAATATTTTTCAATTAAAAAGCTCGAACAGAGCTCGGGAGGGTCTCAAGCCACGACGATTTAATAAATAAACCTGTTCCGCATGTCTCGGACCCGCCCGGCTCGCGTTTTATAGATCCCAAAGACCGAGAGGAAATTTCCGGCGCTTTATGTGGAGGAATCTTTATCTTTCCCAAAGAAAATCCACGCCCCCCGACCCCGTTGAACCCGCGAGGCGGCGAGTCGTCTCCGAAGCCGAGGGAGCTTTGGAAGGCGAGCCAAGGTCTGCCGGATCCGAGGGAGGGTTTGCCGGCTGCCGACTTGGAAACAGCTTCGTTTATAGAGCGATATCGTTAATTAGAGGCGTGGAAGCCCTTTGTAGTCCCGGGTTCTCCGTTCCAGCAGCCTCCAAGTCCTCTGCGGGTTTATGGGCTGTCGTTAGGGCGCGCAAACACGACGGGTTCAAGGGGAAAATTAAATCCCCGGAGACGCCACTTCCTTCCCTCTTCAGCCGGGCGGGAAAGCGGCGAATGTGGGCGAATACTCGATTTTTTTGCCGT